GGGGGGGGGGGGGGGGGGCGAGTTTTGTCTTGCCTAGGGCAACCCCAAACCTAAATACACCACTGATGTATACTGTGTATTTGTCTGTGTGTGTGTGTGTAATATAGATAGATCGATAGATAGATAGATAGATAGATAGATAGATAGATAGATAGATAGATAGATAAGATATAAAAGTTGTTATTTTATTACTCTATGAAATGTACATAAGGAAGTAGTAATATAATTGCAGTAACATTGATGTCAGTTTGCAGTATCTCATATGGATTTATAAATTGTCACTTTAGAGATTATTGTTGCACTTTTGAATAAACTGATGAAAGACATTTTATTACTATGGGATGTGTCCGTCTTTTACAGCTCACTTCATTATCACAATCATTGATTCATTGGTAATTATTACGGATGACCCGATGTATGCTTCACCCTGCTTAGGGTTCATGTCGACAGGGGTGTCACCAGACTGGGCGTCTCCCAGTACCCACATCACTATGTATGCACGTGATGTCATTACACACATGCGTAATGACATCATGTGCACTTCGTTGCTGGTGGCCATCTTGGAGGGGACGTTCATCCTGCGGGATAAGGTATGCCACCGGGTCCCCTCCTCTCTCGGTCTCATGGACAGAGAACACAATTTTTCAGAGGGTGTGACATAAAATTGCTACCTTTTTTTCAAGCACAACCCGAACACTGTAGCAACGCGCGGATATTTTTTGGGGAGAATGAGTCGCAGCTTATTTATATGTAAGTAGCACTACCCATTCATATGTAAATATCACAGTCAAGACTAATTTCAGTGGGGGGCCAGTAGCCCCTATCTTAATTTTGGTTGCCCCTTTCTGCCTGTCATCATGTGTCCGAGTTTCTGCCGCCATGAAACTCGGACACAGCATTCAAAACCCGGACTGTCCAGGTGAATCCTGAACAGGTGGCAACCCTAGGGTGACACCAAAATGACTGTCAGTGACTGATGGTGTGTCACCCGGTGCGAGCTGCAACCTCTCTTGTGACTCCACTGCATGTTGACAGGCTTTAGTTTTCTGTGTTGGGAGGCTATTGCTGTACACAACTTTGAACAATGCAAATTAACATTTTTAATTTGCTAATTCAAAGTGTTTACATAAAAAAAATAAAAAATAAAAATCCATCAGTTCTGCTTTACTATACTTTGGATCATTTGCACATACAGGTATAATATGCATATATTTGCTAAGGAGAGTAAATGGTGGAGAATCAGACTGAACCTTCGCATGAAAATATGCCTGGATTTTATAAATAACCCCCAAGTATGAAGTCCTTTTAGTCCGGGGTCTGGTGTACGGGTGACCCCCTATGCACATAATCATTGATCATTGAAGCTATGATAAAAATGTGCAGTACATCATCAGCAGGCCACGGATTGTGTGCCGCCATCGCCCTCTGCTGGTCACCCGCTGAATACATTCCTTTTCCGATATGCAGGTGGGAGAAGTTTGGTCATTTTCAGCCGTAGTCAGCTCGTTGTCATGGTTACCAGAGCAGCGTCTTAGAGTGATAGTCGGTGTTTTACACTAGCTGGAAGAGCCGGGACCCGCCACCATGGTGTTTAGTGAGTATTTCTACCGCAGACATCGCTATGTATTGTTATGTTCGGTGTGTGGGGGGGTGTGCTGTGTACTGAGCCAAACTGAACAAAGCTGTGGTCCCTTCTCTTCTTGGGGCACCCTGGTCAGCTCCTGAGAACCTTGGTCACCTCCTAAGCACCCTGGTCACCTCTTGGAGCACCCTGGTCACCTCTTGGAGCACCCTGGTCACCTCTTGGAGCACCCTGGTCACCTCTTGGAGCACCCTGATCACCTCCTGCAGTACCCTGGTCAGCTCCTGAGGCACCCCGGTCACTTCCTGGGGTGGGGGTGGGAGTGGAGAGCATAATGGTAACCTCCCAAGCACCCTGGTCACCTCCTGGACCCCCTTGGTCACCTCCTGCATCACAATGTCCACAGAGCACCCTGGTCACCTCTTGGAGCACCCTGGTCACCTCTTGGAGCACCCTGATCACCTCCTGCAGTACCCTGGTCAGCTCCTGAGGCACCCCGGTCACTTCCTGGGGTGGGGGTGGGAGTGGAGAGCATAATGGTAACCTCCCAAGCACCCTGGTCACCTCCTGGACCCCCTTGGTCACCTCCTGCATCACAATGTCCACTTCCTGAGGCACCATGGACATTCTCCAAGGCTCCCTGTCAGTATTTACAGCTCCAGAGGCACTCTAGCCACCTCATAAAGCACAATGCCCACATCCTGAAGCACCCTGGGCACCCCTTGAGGCTTCCTGGAATTTCTTGAGGCACATTGGATGCCCCCAAAAACACCCTAGCCATCACCCAAGGCATGTTAGACACCCAGTAAGGTACCATAGACAGCTCAAGACACTGCAGCAGACACAGGACATCCTGGATCTATTTTATGCTGTGGACAAGTGGTGACCAACTTACTCAATATTCATCACCAAACGAGCCGCACGTATTATATAGTAAATGTAATCCTACAGAAGACTGCTAGAACCTGTGGACACGCTACAGGAGGTGGTCAGAAACAGTGGACATGATACAGGAGATAGAGGCAGAGGATACGATTCAGAAGATGGTTAGAGACTATAGATATGCTACTGGAGCTGATCAAATGATTGTAGACGTGACACAGGAGATAGACTTAGACTGTGGACATGTTACATCATACAGTCACTGCAACCCCTTCAGATATCAAATCCCATATCTAATCTCCCAGATGTGTGCTCCCTACAGCTCCCTTAAATGTACTGTTCCCACATGTGTTATAGGTGTCCACCATCAATGCAGCAGCAGATACCCTCTGTAACGTGTTTATTGTATTGCCACTTTATGTCTTGTAGTCACAGAAGACCTGATCAGGAGACGAGCGGAGCACAATAGCTGTGAAATCTTCTCCTTGGAAGAACTTTCTCTTCACCAGCAAGATCTAGAGAAGATCGATCATGTGGACAAATGGTGCAAGGAGCTGAAAATCCTTTACCTCCAGAACAACCTCATACCCAAAATAGGTGAGTGAGCAGACGCTAGACTCACCAGCATCACAGGATACAGCACTGAGATGAACGTTGTTGTTGTTATTAGAGTTGTGTAAATGGGGGTGAACCGTCCTCTGGCCATAATATTGGTCTTGTGGCAACTCCATGTGTAATGCAGGACACTGTGACTTTGCTAGATTAATAGGGTTGGCCCTGAGAGGAAGAATGGTGGTAGGGGGGGCGAGGGGGAGGGCAGTTATAAAACGTAATGAAAGGCCTAAATTGGCTTTAGATACTAGAGATTTTCCCTTTAAGTTTGTCAGTGGGGCAAAAAAGTGGGAAATCCTACATTTTATAGTTGTCACACTGACCGGAGGTAAAGGAAAACTTCCAGTGGGGCGCCTGCTCTGGTGACACTTGTCTAAGGACCATTCTGTTGCCGTGCAATACCAAACACACGCCGACATGCAAGAGTTCATGAGTTATCATGTGTTGCATGAAGACAGCCCATTCATTTATAATGGGCTGCCAATGCACAGCAATTAAATTAAAACCGGACCACCAAGAATTTCCTCACTATGGAGGGGTTTCCTCTCACTTAGTGTTGTGGCTATCAGACAGGAAGTGAAGGGAAATCTTTCCAATGGGACACAGATGGCAAAGCTGATAAGGGGTTATAACCCTCCCTTACTATATCCAAAACAAAAAAGAAGTTTTGGCTTCAGTTCTATTTTAATATACACAGTGGCCAGATTATTATGACCACCTGACGTTTGGAGGCAAATTAGCTATAATTTCGCGCTGAAGTTGCTAGAGGGCCAGACCATTATAAATAGGGAAGCAGGTTGGTTACCACGACAGTAGAAGTGATTTGTTTATGAAGATATGGGTAGACAACGCGATTTAACAGCCTTTGAACGTGGGGTGATTGTTGGCTCGGAGCCATGGAGCGAGTATCAGCAAAACAGTAGAATTCGTTAAATGTTCAAGAGGGGCTCATTGTTAAAGTGTTTAAAGACCGGACTGTGAGCTGAAAATCTGGTTCTGAACGTGCGAATTGTGGCCGTCAGCGACTAGTCAATGTTAGGGCAGAACGGAGAGTGGCAAGACTGGTACAAGACAACAGAAGGGCAACAGTGCCGTGTCAGATTCCTCGTATCACCTTTCATCATCTCGTGGAGTCACGAGGCGGCCCAACGAAGTCATTTCGTGGAGTTATCTCGTGGCCCAACGAAGTACTGATGGGGTGGTCGTAATAATCTGGCCACTCAGTGTATGTGTTTGCAAGACAATTTTTATAGTGGAAATCTGGGCACTCCCAACCCCCTTAATCCCCTAATTAACCACTGAATTAGTTTTAAATGAAATCTAATTTAAATGCCCAAAATACTTGCCGAAATCTGTGCTCACGTGGCTGGCCAGATCCCGAGTTTTCCCAGATCAGAGGAGGAGGGCCCTTCTTCAGGTGTCCACTTCACTTTCTGGGTGACATGAACACTTCCTATTGGCTGTCCAGCAGCAGGGTCCTCTTAGGTTACAAAAGAATGAAGCTGTGTGATGATGTCATAAAGAGGTGACCGGTCGGCTGCATCACCAGTTGTCACTGCCGGGACACAGATGAAGGAATTAGGTGGTATTAAGAGGCTTCACAAGGTATTTTTTAGTGCTGCTGAATGGGTGAGAGGGGGATGGGAGGAGGGATTGTGATGCCCAGAGACGGGCTTTAAAGTTTATATAAGTTTGTATCGTGAGGCATTTTTATTGGCTGCTGGTTTGCAAACCTCTTTCTGTTCATCAGTTTCAACTCGTGTATAGAAAGGCTCTGTGATGTCCGCAGTGCGACAATCTACTTCCTGACTATATACATGTTTTTGAATTTGTAGAAAATGTTGGGCGTTTGAAAAAACTGGAATATCTGAATTTAGCATTGAACAACATTGAAAGGTTCGAGAACCTGGAAGGTATGTATATTTTTTTTCCACAATGTTTATTTTTTGTCTATAGCAATTAGGGGATGCACCGATACCGACACTAGTATTTGTACTTGCCCAAATACTACTGATGCTTACTCTGATACCGGAACCTCCAGTAACAGGAAGCCGGGTGGCGAGTTATTACATGCCACCAGCTTCCTGATTGGCTCCATGCTCCCTCGTCACGTGGCCAATCAGGAAACCGGGGGGCTAGTCATTAAAGGGTAATAACTCGCCCCCCAGTTTCCTGATTGGCCGGGAAGCCGGCTCCATGCTCCTTCATCACTTGGTGACGAGAGAGCATGGAACCAGCTTCCTGGCCAATCAGGAAACCGTGCAGGGTGTAAATGACCAGCCGCCCGTCTTCCTGATTGGTCAGAAAGCTTGCCAATCAGGAAGCCAGGCAGCGAGTCATTACCTGCCCCCCACACAATGAATGAAGCAAGAGCAGGAAGATATTTGCACTGTAGGTCCTCAGGTACAGCTTCTTCTCCAGTAAGGAGAACAGTGAAGAAACAACAGGTTCCCACTTGGCTACACATCAGAGATCAGCTGAGAAACCATATGATCACATAAATGTCCTTCAAACAAAATTGATGCCAAAAAAATCAATTTATTTCAAGAAAATATTTAAACATCATTTACCCAATGTGCACATATACCCCCCCCCCCCCCCACCCCCAAGAAGAAACACAC